CCCAAGGGCGCCTGCCTCATCTCCCATCCCTCTGGACACAGAAGCTTCCAGATGCCACCTGAGACGGACACAGGGATCTAACCCTGGGGGCCGAGGGATCTGATGACGGGACAATCAGAGACCCGTCCCCTTTCCTAGATGTCCCTCCGGCAGGTTCATGAGCAGGAGGGGTGGAAGTCCCATGCCTGTGGAGGAGGACAGCGAGGTAGAAATCTGGGGAGCCCCTACTTTGGGGGACTCATCAGGGCACCAGTTCCCCTGTCCCCTCTTCCCCCCTCGATGCTGTGTTGATGATGAATGAGGGGATGCAAGGGGGTTCGTGTGCCCACCTCCCTGTGAGTCAGGGTACCCCTTGCCTCGCTCTCCCAAGGAGGGGACTCCTCACTGCCGGCCTGGAAGCCCCCCCAGCCCCAGCAAGGTCATGGAGCCCCCTCGTCCAGCCTGCTGAGGGTTTGCTGCAAACCCAAATGTGTGGGGAAATCAAGAGGAAGCTGGCGGCCAATCACACAAGGGGTCACAAGTCCCCTGTCTCCTGGGGGAGGGGTTTTTCCTCCATCAGGGTGTCAGCGGGATTCGTGGACCAGGCGCCCACATGGTCCTGCCCCACCCAGAAAGCGGCTGTAAGCTGAGTGCCTTCCTCATCGTGTGTCCCAGCAAACACCCGGGGTCCACGCTTGCTGGCCATGGGGGGTCCCGGGCCAGCTGCCCATCGGGTCCCACGCTTGCTGGCCATGGGGGGTCCTGGGCCAGCTGCCCATCGGGTCCCACGCTTGCTGGCCATGGGCGTCCCGGGCCAGCTGCCCATCGGGGCTGCGCCGAGGCCTCGCTGGTCCGTGTGAGGCCCTTCCTGGCCCTGCGCCTCCTGTCCGCCCTCGCTGACCCCGGAGACCCGCTTTCCACCGCCCTCCCCCATGTGGTCGCCCGGCCGCCCCCGCCCGGCAGCCGTCTGATTTCCTCCAGCAGCTGCAGGCAGCAGGCGTTCGGGTGAATTACTCTGCGAGGGAGTCTGAGCTTTGATGCTAAAAGGAGCCACACTTGCTGGAGGAGAGGCTGCAGGCACACGGGGGGTCACCCTGCAGCTCCCTGCTTTTCCCAGGGGGTAGCAGGTGTGTACACACAGCGAGGCCAACCTCAAAATAGGCCAATTTCCAGGAGGAAATAGGCAGAGACAGGCCGCCTGGAGCAAAGCAGTAACCTGATTCGGAGGGAGCCACGGCCCATCGGGGAAGGAAGGTGAGGGGAGGCTGGGCTGGCACGGGGCCTGGGACAGCTGGGACAGCTGGGACAGCCAGGGCCAGGGCCAGGGCCAGGGCCAGGGCCAGGGCCAGCGAGCGCCCTGCATAGCCCCCGTCCGCGCTGCTGCTGGGAAAGAGAGGAAAAGGGTTGCCCCCTGGGTGAGCAACATCCAAAGGCACCTGGGTCCGAGAAACAGGAATTTGGAGGAGGTAACGCCTGCTGCCTGAGCCAGGGGAGCGCCTCCGGGAGGGGCTGTGCTCTGGGGGGTCTGTGCGGGAGGCCGGAGAAACAGTTCCCTGGCCGTGGCCTGGGGCCAGGTGGGAAAAGTTGGATCTTTCTGCCCTGGCCGGTGTGGCTCAGTGGTTAGAGTGCTGGCCCAGTACCAAAGGGTCTTGGGTTTGATTCCCAGTCAAGGGCATGTACCTGGGTTGCAGGTTCGATCCCCGGCCTGAGCAGGAGACAACCAATCAATGTGCCTCTGACATTGATGTTTTTCTCTCTCTCCCCCTCCCTTTCTCCCCTCTCCCTTCCACTCTCTCTAAAAAATCAATGGGAAAAAATATCCTTGGGTGAGAATCCTTACCAGTTTTTTAAGACAAGAGTTGTAATCAGCGCAGCTATGACCATGATGAGGGAGACGGTGATGGTGACGATCTGATGGACAGCCAAACCTGGAGATGGAAGGGGGAGAGGGGAGATGTGAGACCCGGGTCAGGAGGTGAAGGGGTCCCGGAAGGAGGCACGTTAACCTGTCCTGTTAACCTGGCCACAAACGCCTGGTCCTGTCCCTGAGCAGCCTGCACATACCGGGCAAGGGGCCACGGTGGGGACCACACAGGCCGCAGCCCCTCCTTTGCCACACGGGTGCAAGCAGGTGCTGTGGGCACCAGGCCTGCCCTTACCTGGGCCCGGGGAGGGAAGCCCCAGCCCCAACTTCTCCCCTTCCCAGAGCTCCTTCAGTCCCCGGGCTGTGACCTGGCCTATGGGGGCAGCTGGGAGCCCCTCACCTGGCACAGGTGAGGCCTAGCTGGAGCTCCCCCCAGGACCTGTCACCCTCCTCTGTCTCCTGCCACCCTGGATCAGACCTGCTCCTTGATTCTGTGCACCAGGGCAGCTGCTTGCACGTGAGGACAGGACCAGGCCTGACCCAGGAGGGGGAAGGTGGGGAGACAGCCTGCAGGCTCGGGGATAGTTGGATCATTGGGAAAGGGCTGTGTTTGCCCGAATTTTCTCCAACAAGCTCACTGCCCAGGGAATGAAAGATCCAGGCCTTGCAGAAGCTCTGTGGTCTGACCCTGCCCTGTGTGTGCAGGGTGGTGGGGGATGAGCAGCAGACAGGGACTGAAGGACTGGCCCCTCCCGAACCAGGGCAGCCAGAGCCCGGGCCAAGAGCTGCCTGCTAACCCCACGTGCAGACGGCCGAGGATGGGAATTCTCCCCCGCACTCCCCCTCTG